AGAAACTAAAATCAGTTTAAGGGGCTTACAGAACCTATTGAGGCATCTCCTTCACACTTCTGAAGTCTAAGTCCCCACTCCTTAGTTTAAAGCTCATCTATTTGTCACAATTGTTATGTAAGGTCTTGTACTCCACTGAAGAAAAAATTCGAATGACTTTGAAGTGATTTTCATTTGATTGTGACTTTGGTGCCTAACGTTCCATACCTGAAATTTACCCCAGTGCTAAATGTGGCAGTAATTTTTTTTTCTGTCTTATGTAATTTGCCATTAAAGTAAGATTTTGCCTCTGTGGTACTGTTTTGTTTGTTAATAAAGTGCACTGCCATCCTTGATTCAGCCTCATGTCCTCTTTTTTATAGGTCCATTTAGAATGTTCAGTAACTTTTTATTCTTTCAGACTTTTTTAGTTTGATTTTTTTATTGGTACATTTTAGATATATGTAATGATTACTTTCACCATAGAGAAGTTGTAACTGTACATGATATATCTTGATTCTTGTTTTATTGCCACATTCCCCTTCCCTCCCTTCAACGCCTTTTTCTTTGCTTATTTACAAAAACTCTTTCCATTTTTTCCTTCTTGTATATTTTTCTTTTTCCTTCCTTCCTTTCCCACACCCCCTCCCAGCTTCCCCATCCCCTTTGAACATTTTCTTCCAGTTTCACAATACCTGATATACATTTTAATCCTTATTTACACTTTTAGTTTCTCACATGGAAGAGACAATGTGAAATTTTCACATGTGTTTCTGATTTATTTCTCTTTAACAATGGATGGTCTGAAGGTACATCCATTTTGCTATAAATGGCCCATGTTTGTCCTTCTTTATAACTGAGCAGCACTTCATAATGTAAAAAGTTCACATCTTCTTTATTCATTAACTAGTCAATGGATATTTGGGTTTCTAAGATTTAGCTATACAAACTGCTGCTATAAATAAGGGTGTACATATATCATGGAGTATGATGCATTTAATTCTTCCAGGAAGATGCCAAGAAGGGGAATAGCTAGGTTAAATGGAACCTCTAATTTTAGTTTTTGAAGAATCTCCACACTTATCTCTGTAGTGCTTGCCATCCCAACAACAGTGGAGAAAGGTCCTTTTTTCCCACAGCCCTGCCAACATTTGTTATCGGTTGATTTCTTGATAATAGCCATTCTTTATGGTGTGAGATGGAATCTTGGTTTGTTTGTTTTTTTTTTTTTTTCAGAACTGGGGATTGAACTCAGGCCCTCGTGCTTGCCAGGGAAGTGCTTATTCCACTAAGCCATCTCTCCAGCCCCTTGGTGATGTTTTAGTGTACATCTCTCAAGTGAATTGGCTTTCCACGTGCTAAAGAATAAAACTAGACCAATATCTCTCACCATGCACTAAACTAAAATCAAAATTAATCAGATATCTAAATATTAAAACAGAAACACTAAATCTGCTTTAAGAGAGTAGGTAGAACTCTCAAAGACAAGAGTAGGCAAAGACTTTATGAACAAAACCTTGGTCTCACAGGAAACTTTACAATGAGTCAACAACTGAGATCTCATCTTATTAAAAAGTTTTTGCATAGCAAGAGAAATCACCAACAGAGTAAAGAGAACTCAGAGAGTGGAAAAAAAATTTGCCAGCTGTTTCTCACTCAAAAGACTAATACCTAGAATATATAAAGAACTCAAATCATACCCTCCAAGTTTAAAGAGCTAAGTGCTTCCCTGGTAAGCGCAAGGGCCTGAGTTCAATCTCTGGTTCCACAAAAAAAAAAAAAAAAAAGAAAAAAAAAGAAAAATTTAAAGAGCTAATCAAAAATTGGCATCTTAAATACATATACACTTCTCAGATGAATAAGTACAGATAGCAAATGTATGGGGAAAAGGTTTGGTGTCCACTTACAGCAGGAAATCACATTGTGTCATTACTCTCTGGAGGATAGGCTTTAAAACCCACTTGGTATTGAGACTGAATTCTCAACATTGAGTTTGACTTTCATGTTATTGAGGTTGCCTCAGAATGGATACAGTGCTGGAATATTAGATTCAGCCTAACTAAGCCACAAGTGTGGGTTCTGACTCAAGGCTTTTCATCTGATTGCTTATAACATAATTGCATCACTTTGGTTCAGTGCCTCAGACAGCCTCCCCATCTGCAAACGGATGGGTTTCACCAGGCTTCTATGAGTTTTTCTCATGACAGCATTATGTAATTTATGCATTTTGTTGTTAGTACTGTTTCTATTTTTGCCCCATTGGTATGGCAGGGTCATATATTTAGCCTTTCCATATCTTTGTTCACTCCTTTTCTTAAATTAGATTCTCTAAAAACAGATTTTAAGGTACAGAGTCAAGGCAGAAAGTTGAGACAGAGCTCTAGAAATATATGTAAGGGGGTAAAAGAGGCAGAATAGGGCATGAGGAGAATCTGTAATGCAGCTGAAACTGAGGCTTCAGGAGATCCTAATGTGGAGTGGGAAGGGCTCTTCAGAGTTGTCCCCTACTGATGAAAGGAGGTCTGTATTCTATATCCCTTTGGCCACCCTCTGAGAAAGGGTACTACCTTGGTTAATGCAAGACCAGAGACAGTTCCAAGTGAGAACCACAGCTGAAAACTTCCATCAGCCTGTAGTCCCAGCGGCTCGAAAATATAGTATTAAAAACCACAGTATCTGTACCTTTAGTCCCCCAGAAAGTTGCCTTGTCACATGTAAGGCATTGAGGACTTCAGCTTTTGTTTTATAGATAGAACAGAGTTATCTCTGAATTCCTGTTAGATAAAGGGACATTTACAAAGTTGTATTTCTTTACCATATATGGATAAGAATGTCATTCTGGGGGACCTTGGAAATTATTCAATTTATATCTCAAAGGAATGTCACTTACAGATTACTAACAAAGATTAAAGGGAAAATATGTACTGTAGTTATAAATGGCAGTCTAAAATCCAGTGTTTTTAGAAGGAATATAGCTGAAAATGAATGGTAGCAGTCATGAGAGGTGGAGTAGTGGGACATATGGCTGGCTTAGGAAGTAATATTCCCCTCTGAAGAGTATATATATTCCAATTCCTTTAA